AAAAAAAAAAAAAAAAAAAGAACCTGCCTAGAAGCAATATCTAGATGATACAACCTTTCTAGATTCTTCGTCCTTGCCAGGATTTCCAGAATTAACTTATTCTCTTACAGGTGTCTTAAATCTTTCAGGAAACCAAGCACTCACTGGTGGGTGGGAATGGTTACTCAAAAGAAAAATGGTAGGGTAGTTAAAACAACCCTGAGAGAGAAATTGGGGGTTCTTGCACTGCCTTGCTATATAACTGTAAATAAGTTTCTCCCCTCATTGGCTCCTAGTTCTCACATTGGACAATATAGAGTTGAGTTCAATGCTCTGAAAGCCTACAACCTGTTCAGTCTTGTTTACCAGTTACTTGAATTGGCATTGGTGGCCTGAGGAGGACATCTTTCAAGAGCACTCATTTCAGCAGCTTCCCACAGCAACTGACTATCCCACCTGTTCTGCCCACCACCCCCAACTGGCCATGCATAACCCCTCTCCACACTCAGCCTGTACTGACCTGCACCTCCCGAGTCAGGGCTAGCTCCAGCAGCTGACCAAAATGCTGGCCCAATGTGCTCAAGGTCTCACTAACGCAGGACTTCATGGATTTCAGGACACGTTCGTTCTCCACCTGGAGGCACCTGAGGAGCAGAAACCATGGGCTGTGTAACAAGAGGGGGCAGGAGGCCAACTCTGGGGTGCTGTGAAAATGGCCTCTGGGGAGAGTATTCCACAGATGGCTTGGCCTTTGGCAGGGATGTGCTGACCTGAGACAAGGGCTGTAGGTCATGTCACTGGGGAGAAAGGCCATCAGCTAAGTGGCTCAATCCATAGTTCTGACTTTCTGTTTCCCTCAGGGCATCTGTCATCCTTGCAGCCGGGGTCGATGTCCCAGTGATGTCAGCGGTCGGAGGATGGATGGAAGCTACAGGGCAGGGGTGCTGGGCTACCAGATATTGCTAGTGTTCATCCTAGAGGCATTTAGCCATGCCTGGGACCCCTTAAAAATGGTGGTCCACAATGCGCCTAAAGCAGCCTTGAACATTTTCTTCCAGACAGGGTACTGTGGCCTGAGAGTGCTCCAAAGCAAGAGGCCACACACCCCCACGGGGCCTCAGAGATCCTGACTTCCATGTCTTGCCTTCAGGGCATGGTGACTAAGAAGGGTGAGGGCATGCCAATACAGACCTGGGTGTGTAGCATGTATTGTTGAGCATGTGTGTGTCTGAATGTGTATGCTTATGTGTCTGATCTATGCAGAAAAAGATGAGAGTGTATTTCTGTGATTGTTTGAGTGTGTTAATAGACCTGTGTATGAGTAAGTAGTGGTGGTGGTTATGTGCCGTGGAGTCGGTTCCGACTCATAGCGACCCTGTACAGGGTTTCCGAGGCTGTAAACCTTTACTGGAACAGAAAGTCTCATCTTTCTCCTGAGGAACAGCTGGCAGTTTCAAACTGCTGATCCTGATGTTAGCAGCCCACTGTGGGTTAATATGCCAGACTGCAAAGCCATTTGAACCACAAGGTCAGAGGTTCAAGCTCACCAGCTGCTCCTAGGAAACCCTATACAGGGTCACTATGGATTGGAATTGACTCAACAGCACTTAACAACAACAACACGTTAGTAAACGCGTGTGTCTGCGAGGACTGAATCTCTGCTTTCACCCTGCCTTGGCTTTGAGATCCTGACAGGCTTCCCAAAGCTATAGGAAACATTTTCCTTGTTATCAATCCCACAAAAATCCTATTTTCCTATGCCCTGGACTCTCCCCTGTTTTTTGGTTTAGCCCTAGAGCCTACAAATGGGCCTGAAAACCCCAAGGGAATCATTTAAAGTTGCTGATGAAAGTCAGCAAAAAGAAACTCCCCATTCCCATAGCCTTTCAGTGATTAAGTGCTGGGCTGCTAACCAGAAGGTTGGAGGTTCGAACTCACCAGCCATTATGAAGGAGAAAAACGTGGCAGTCTGCTTCCATAAAAACTGGAATCCTATGGGGCAATTTGACTCTGTTCTATAGAGTTGCTATAAATCTGAATTAGGGAGAAGCTTCCAGCTCCTGCTCATGAATGGGAAAGTAAACCAAGGTCCCAACTCACCTCTCCGTGACTGCTGAGAGCTCTGAGCATTTCTCCATCAGCAGCTTCTCAATCTGTAGAAAAATAGATCAATTTTATTCAATTCAATAAACCTTTGTTGACCAGCCACTGTGCCAGGCACTCTGGGGTATAAAAATGAAGAATCATGTAATCTGATGTGGGGGAACAAATATATCAACTATAACCAGGTGATGTGGATGACAAACAGGTCACTGTCAGCTGCTTTGAGAGCATAATAAATAAATACGTAAAACTGAGCAATTCATTCTGCCCTGGGACCTGGGAAGCCTCAGAGAGTAAGGAGTCTTTGAGCTGGACTTCAAAGGAGACATGGAAGTTTACTGTCGACGGAAAAGTTGCAGGCAAAGGGCCAAGTACTAAAGTGAAAAAAAAAAAAAAA